ATGAAATACAGACTGTCTTCCATCCACCTCCTCCATATGGCTCAAGCAAAGTCAACTTTTAATGTCATAACACAAAATATTTAATTTATGCTTTTCTTCATATGTCAATTTAACCTCTGGCACATAGCTTTGAAACCATGTAAGGATGCCTAACACTTTCCATATGGCAACTGAATTGTGGCTTTTAATTGCACCAACTGGTATCATTCAAGGATAATTCCCTTGGAATCCAGCTTTCTGCTACAGTATTGGCCAATTCACTAATCTCATCACCATGGCACTAATACTTTCAGAGACTCTTTGATTGTTAATATTCATATTATAATTTTCCCAAACCAGAGCTGTCAAGATATACTGTGTGCACCACTAATTAAATTATCTTGGTTTGTTGGCACCAAATTTCAACACTAAATAAGATTCTACTTTTCTCTCTATCAATACAAAGTTTGGCAATTTTATTTTGAACACCACACAGAATATTTGTGTGTATTAAAATACTTTTTAGTCATACCAATATCTGTCACTGCTGAGTCAGTTGTTTATTTTAATCCTCAGAGTCAACAAAAATAATTATCTATACAATATTGACATTATTGGACTTGAAAATATTTCAGTTAAAAAGATCGCTTCAAGCAGTCACACAAGATAGCATCCAAGGAAATCTTCATTGCTCTTGTCACCATATCAGTAAGAAGGCAGTCTTTCAAATGTCATTCCACCCCTGAAATCACCCCAAAGTAGTGCTACAATTACATCTTCCATTTCAACAGCCTTTAAGCCATAGCATGTACATACCACTAAAGAAGTCTCTTTTCTGTTCATTATTTTCATTTTGGATGAATGACCTCCCCAGCTGTGTCTTCCAGAAGGCGATGTATTTTTAATATGCACACACACACATATGCTATTTAGCAGTGGGGGACTGGGAAGGATTTTTTTTTTTAATTTAAGATTGATCATACTAGAGGAGCAGTGAAGTTGACACTGGTGTTGTCTCCTCTCAGCCATGCAAGGAATGCCCATTAATGTCACTGGCAGTTACAGGCACAGAACAAATGGAGAACAAGCCCCACCTCTGAAGTACTGATGTGCCTCAGCATTTCGTACTGTATTAGTCCCAAACCACATACTCAACTCTAATTAATATCAATTAGAGTTGAACAAGAGGATCACTAGCACCAAAGAGCCCAGCAGAAGTGGTAAGCTAAAGTCTTTCCTATTTTACCTAAAATGATTACCTTCAATGTGACTCACTGAGAGTTGGTTAAAATATTAATTAAAAACACAATGTTTTTTCCATTCCCAAGCACAGATCTGAATGAGACGCACAAGAAACTAGTAAAATTTCTTATGGCTTTGAAGATAAAAGTAAATTGAATCAAGCAAATGTCATATTTAATATTTGTCCCTCTAGCACTAAACTACTTCTCAGTTAAATAAATAAATACTTGAATATTTGCAAACAATGTTCATCTCCAAAAATAGTTTGCAAAAGTAAACACACTGAGTAAATTTAAGCTTAAGAATTATACAGGATAATCCACAGCATCAGAAAACTGTTCTGGGTACAAGGTAGCTCTGTCATGAAGCAGCAAAAGATGTGTATTCAGTTGCTCTAACAGATTTACAGCCTCAGTGGTTTCAATTAGCTTTGAACTAGAAGTTGACTCTGGACCTCATACTTTTCATGGATGGAACAGAATTCCTTTTTTATTTAATCCTACATGATGTGGAAGGCTGCAGCCCAGCCCTCAGCCTCCACAGTCATTAAAACGTTTAGAGCAGAGCAGCCCCTGCTGGGCGGGTGGCAATGGTTTAATGAGATCAGAGCTCCCGGCCCAGCACCGACAGCTTCACACACACCTCGAGTGCATATTTGGGACACACTCCCCTTCCTCTGGCTCATGCCTTCACCCAACAGTTTACCAGGAGATCCTTCTCAGATGGCTGGTGCATTTGGTAGTAGCTGGACACTAATTACTGTTCTTTCAGTGAATTGGAGGAGGGAGACACAGATGGATAGGACACAACATGGACAACTCATCAGCTGAGGGAAATCTGCTCTAGCCAAGAAACTCTCAAAACTTCCGTTCAGGAGCAGAAAAGGTATTGTATAATTGAGCTCTGCTAGAGCCAAACACCCCTTGAGTGCACTGATGTAAAGACCTCCCCTCCACAACTATTTTAAATTCAATCATTCTAGAGAGGACTACAAATGAAACTTTATTGCTTTCCTGTATTAGTCACTCATTCCTCTTGTAAAATGCTACATGAATCCCCTGAACTTCAGTGTCATCTCCCCTGTACGACTAACTTCACCAAAACAACTCAGTGCCTCTGCTCTTGAGGGAAACAGCCTTCCAACTACAACCTAGACAAAATTTTTGGCTTATATAGAGTGATATATGTCAAATTGCACTATCACATCCAAGTTTTGACAAAAATTATTCAAATCTTTGAAGTTTCAGACTTGAAAGACACTGAGTGCTCTCCTCTCCCATCAACAGGTCTTTGGAGTGAAGTGGATTTCACCAAATATGCCCTACTTCCTAACAAAACCACCATCGACAAAGCTCTAGTTAAGGATTCCTAATAGGGAAATTATTTCTAGGATTTTTTTTTTTAATTCAGCTGGATGTTTCTGTGAATGCAGATGTTTTCATCAGTGTTTGATCTAACTTCTTCTGCCATAAGTCACAAATAGAGCAACTAGGACCTATTTGGGGGCAAAGAAATGTTTTACTGAGAAGCCAAAGTTTCAGCTGTGACACACTAAAACTGTAGCACTTCACAGAGCCTTTTAAGCTTATTTTAAGATGAATTTTGGTCAATGTTGGGACTACACAACTGTCCCACACAACCCCCAGTGAGTAAACCATTAGTAGAAGCAACTACTATTTCTACATCTTGAGGTGAATGAAGAACCAAGAGGTTAGGCTACAATTCACTTTGTAATTTGGTACAATTATACAAGAGATCAAAGAGATCTCAGACAAGAAGCAATCATGCAATCTCAGTTATGGAGTCAATAGCTGTGACTTCATAATCCTTGTCAAAATGACTGTACATATGGCACATCTGGTTCCAATGTAGGATTAGAAATGCATCCTTCCATATTCCAAAAGTTCATATTTAAAAGGAACTTTAATGTAGCTGTCCCAGTGTGCCTGTGACAGGATGACAATTAAACTACATAAATTAGCAGGGTATATATGCGTATAGATACTACCAAATACATTAGGCAGTATACGGCAAATATTTTTGAACATTCAGAAACAGCTTTATAAGGATGACAGTAAAAAGCCTCATGGGATCAGTGCTTTTAAAAACACTTAAACCTATTTACAGTTTTATAACACACTAAAACTGCAGACTAATATTCAGTTAATGGCTTGCTAATTGCTGAGCCATCATGAGGAGGACTTCCTCTTGAGTAAGAAGAAAAATACTTTCTACAGTCATTCCAGCTGAGCAGACCTAGTGAAGCTGACAACTGAAGAGTGTCATGAATAGAAAGTGTCTTTGACAAAAGATATTTTCTCCTTATTTTCAGAAAGCAAATTATCGTAGTGGAAGAAAATATATTTCACAAACTAAAGTCAGAGTTTTTTATCTTTAACTCTTGTATTTTAAACCTATGGGTTTAGTTTGGCAAGTTGAGCTTCTTTTCTAGAAAATATACAAGTGAAAGGTAGAACACATCTAAAAAGCTTGACTTACAAAAACTATGATAATTGAAAAATAATTAAAAACACGTGTTTCTACTCTTTGCATCTGTATCATACATGTATGTTCTATTAGAAATGAGAACTTCTTTCTTTGGACACACTGTTTCCAAATAAAGCACAATAAAAATCACTTCAACCAACCATACCTGCAAGCCGATGGTGATTATGCTCATCAATTACAAACACTCCCTTTGCCCTACTTCTAGGGAATCTCACAATTTATCCTCCTTGAAATACAATACTGGTGGAACCTAAAAAGTCATCATTAGCTTTTCCCAAGCTACACATCTTCTACTCACTTTAACATCCCACCTGAAATGTGGTATTCTCCACTTGAGAGTTAATTTTTCCTGAGACACAAGAAGTCCAGGCTTCTGACAATACAACTGGTAGCTGACAAAGCAAAGAGTCTGCAGGAGGTTTGGTGGCCCTGCTCTGCTTGTGCTTTCAGAGCCACATTGCTTGCTGGGAAGCACAGATTCCAATCTCCCCATCTCTCAGGTTACCTTTCCAGTGATGAAGCTTTCAGGGCTTGATCCAAAGTCAATGAGAGTCTTTCAGTAAACATCAATAAGCTCTGGATCATACCCTGAAACACTTTGAGGACCATATCTAAGAATTGTTAAGTCTGTTTACCTCCCATCGTGCCTTTTTGTTTAAAGAGACAACATTCAGGATAAATAAAAGAAAAAGGCAACTAAAATATTTCTTCCAGCCCTGGTTTACATGGAGAGCTGAAGGAAAGAGAAGGGGTGGAAAGCGACCAGTGTGGTAACAGCCAGGACAAGTGACATATACAGTAACTCTTATGGAGAAAGTCAGCCACGCATTATTAGCAAACAGCAAATAAATAACTATACACTCTTCAGGGACTTCTCCTTTCCTGCGAAAATGTCACAGGCAAACTTGTGCACTAATCCAGGTTCACAAGCTTGCACACACTGGCTGGCTGCAGGGCTTTTCCCAGAGATTCTCTGTTTGTTCCTGTTTGTAAAGGGTTTTGTTCTAATCGTACTGCCCAGACACCAGCAGTCAGGTTCCCTTACTCCTCAGGCTTTTGTACCCTCACCAAGTTTGCTCTGCAGCTCCCAACTTCATCAAAGGACAGAAGGAAACCACCCACGGGGCAGCCCCTTGGAGCAACATTAGGGCAAAGAAAACCTTCCTTTGCACAATCGCCCCTTGGGAGGGAAAGAGGGATGTAGAAAGAGCTTTTGCTTTTCACTATTTCAAAAGGAAGGGGCGGGGGGGGCAGCGAGGACGCTGACATACCCTGGCGCTGGAGAGCCTGCAAACGGCCCGGTGCTGGCAGCCTTGCTGGAGTCCCGAGCTGCTGCCGCCGCTGCTGCTGCCCCCGGAGTATTTCTGCTTCACCATCCAGTCCTCCAGCCCTTTGCGAGCCAGAGAGGCGTTCACCGCAAAACTATCACCTAGAAAAGAGACAATGCCGTCGCTGAGCGCCCGCAGAGCCCGCCCGGCCCCCGCGGCCATCCCCGCTCCCGGCCGGGCTGGAGCTGGAGCCGGGGCTGGAGCCGGAGCCGGGGCGGGCACGGGGAGCGCAAACCGCGGCGGAAAGTTGAGGGAAGAGGAGGGCAGGGGGCCGGGGGCAGCCGGGCGGACCGGGGGAAGGCGTTCAAAGTTACTAGCAGTAAGGAACCATCCCTACCTTCTGGACTTTCTCTGGGTTTACAAACGGCAGCTAGGCAGATCCGGAGGAAAGTGTGTGAGGGAAATAATAAAGGAAGATCGTTAGATACCAGTATAAAATCACAGCAACAAACCGAGTAAAAATCCGAATAAGGGGAAGGGGCTAAGGAAGTAGCAAGTGAAAGGAACTAACCATGTTTCGAGTGAAGTTTCCCCATCTCTCTGCATTGATCTGCAATTACGATTCATTTGACTGTGTTCAGTAGGGTCAGGTTCGCTTGTTGTTATTTTTGTAGATATATAAAATCCCAGCGTGTTTAGAAATCCATGTGCTCCGCTTCTCCCTGCTAAGCACAAGCGAGCTCAAATCTCAGCTCCTCTCCTGCAGCACGGTCCGGCGTCCCCCTCTCCGCCCCAGCCTTCCTCCTCTCTCCTCTCTTTCCCAAAGACAGAGGCGGTTACAAAAGACCTTACTTCACCCACCGGGGAACATGATTGACACCTCATTGAGATTAGACCACTTGCAGGCAGCCTCCGCCTTCCCATTGGGCCGCGGCGGCAGATGAAAGGGGCGAGTGAGCCTTTTGGAGGCTCAAAAAGGAAGAAAGGAAAAAAAAAAAAAAGAAGAAAGAAAAAAAAAAAGGAAAAAAAAAAAAGAAAAAGGAGCAGCAGGGGCGCGTTTCACTTCCAGCCAGGCACGGGCGGCGGGGCCGGCCCCGCTCCGCGCCCCGCGCAGCCCAGCGCGGACAATGCGCGGAGCCGCCCCCGCCCTCCCGCCCGCCGGGCAGCGCCGCCCTCCGCGGGTGTGCGGGGCCCGCGGGCAGCGCTCGCTCCCTGCGGGGCCGCTCTGGGGGCCGCTCGGCCCCCGCCCGCCCAAAACCAGCGTCCCCGCACGGGCCGCGGGGTCGCCTCCCGGCCGCGCCTCCTCGCCAGGGATGCCGAGGGATCCGGACGGCGCGCAGCCCGCCCCGGGATGTCCGCACGCTGCCTCCTCTGTGCTCGGGCGCGGGGCTGAACCCCTCGTGTCCCTGCTTGGCGGTATCTGGATTGCAAAGGAAGCCAGTATGTCTGGAAAAGCGGTTGGAAAAGTCTGTTGACTTAGTCCTGCAAACTGTTTTTCACGGGCATCCCTTCGCACAAAAGTGATCCTAATGAAGTCACTGTTAACGCCAAAATGCAGTTTTCAGGGTCAGGTCCAGAACCCTTTCTCAGTGACTCAAAATGCTGGCAGCAAGAGGACAAAGTCTCTCTCAGCTTTTTTAAATTTTTAGTTAAGCAGATTAGATTTACAAAGAATCTCCCCTTCTTCTCCAACTTATGAATGGTATATTTTTTACATATAGCATAAATTAAAAGGAAACTTGCTGCTTCATAAAGACAATTCTCACAGTCATTAAAAATTTGCTTCCTTCTTCTGTCTGGTCATTATTTTTCTGTTTATGAAAATCACATCTCCCTTGAGATCCTTGTAGTTCAACTAGGAGAGATAAAAGGGAGTGCATAGTAGGTTCAGAACAAGAAAAAATGAACACTTCTGAGAATTTTAGTCAAGAAACTACTAGTCAAACTATGTAGGGTTTGACCCAGATGGGCCTGGTCCAAAAACTTCAAGGCCACATCTGTGCTTTCAAATCCATACGTTTCAAGCACAGGGAGGAAGGAGTTAGACTTGGGAGCTCATCTGAAAAAAAGATTCAAAGCATATGTAGTAACACTTCTGCAGGGAATTGGGACCGGGAGAGGAGGGTCAGGCTTGGAGCTCATTTTTAGAAGGAATTCCAAAGCACATGGATGTGGTGAAGTTCTGGTATGAAACAACTACACAGCACAGCCAATGCAATGCCATTAAATGAACCATTTAAAGCCAAATTGTTCTTTGGATGATTGCAAAGTCATTTCTCCCATTATTTCAACTATTTATCTGTCTAGCAGAGGAAACACTTGCATTGTGAAATGCAGCCATTGCAACAGCATCAATCACTTGTCAAATATCTAATAACATGTTTCTTCTGTGAATCTCTTTTTTACGTATTTTAATAATTTATTTGGCCCATTTTTTCTGTTGTGTATTTAAAATGACATATTTGTTCCTTTGAAGATTGCCTCTTGTTTTGGGGAGGAGAAAGAGGGGAAGAAAGTGATTAGATGAAGCAAGGCTCCTTGGGGCATGAGCCTCACCTAGACTGTGAAAACTTGTAAAAACTCTCTGATGCACATTAAGAAATTTGAAATTGTAATACCAATTTTATTTTCTCCTCAGCTTGGCATAGATTCAAGTACCCTTTTAAAACTTCATCGGGAAATATTTTATTTGGAATATCACTGTTTACAAGAAATTTATCCATTTATCTTGTGAAATGGTGCCTCTATCATTCAGCTCTTAGGAACAAAACGAGGCCTTAGAAATGTCACGAGTTCAGCAGGTCTGAACAAGTGGCTGGGGGAAGAAGCCCTTGCTTTCACAGCAGATTACAGAGGTCCACTTGTGTCCCAGTTATGGAAATGAAGGACTTGTGTTGGTAACACCGTCACTCTTGAGCAGTACTGCTTTCACATACGCAACATTTGTTAGAGTTTAAAGCAAGCCTTTTTTAGTTACAGGTGATTACATACCCCACAAAACCAAGGTTTTCACAGGAGAGCAAATGTGACAAAAGCATCCCAAATGTCAGTAACAGACTCTGTGTACAATGGGATTCATGACTGTACTGCTTGGGCATAGGAGTAACAAAATTACAATCAAGTTAGATTACTCTGAGTATGAATCTCAACTGCAACTAATTCTTCCTCCACCTGGGAAAGAGAAACTTTGAGCTATTCTTAAAGAGTCAAATCTTGCAATTCTTAGCATGGTTTTGCTTAGACAAATTCCAGTTGTCTCCAGGGAGATTTAGCATGGTATAACTAAACAGGACCTCAAGATTTGACTCGGTAGAATTATAATGATCCTCAAACTACAGGGACCTCAAGGCATACTAAGCCTTTTGTTTTTTCTTCCATGGAGCCACAAGTGTGTTAAGTAGTGACGTCTAGTAAAATATCAGAGTAAAGTAGACCATTCACAGAACAGTACTAATGATTAAAGGGTCTCTAATTCAACCCAGTGACCCCAGTGGAATTCTCAAAGTTAGAAAGTTATGACGTAGAGTATTATTCATTGCCCTTTCATTAGTGCTGACTATGCTCTACTTTTTCAGAAGATGGAAAACCCTTTTGAACCTCACTATACTATAAACTAGTTGATGATAGGAAATGTATTTTAGCCAAGGAGCAAGTGAATAAGGCCACTCTGGGAATTAATTTTCAATATTCAATAGCATAGCAGAATTAATTGCAATATTTGCAATAGCAAGAGTTATATCATTGGTTAGACTGAGAAGAAACTGTTGCAGGCTTCACTGACACACTCATAAAGTCCCTATGACCAGTGGAGAAGGCCCAGCCCTGTACAGCACACAGGTCACATGCCAGAACCACTGACACCCACGGCAGAATAGGGCTCTGCTTGGTGCCTGAGACAGGATGGCAGCAAAGCACCCCTTCCCTCCAGGCTACTGCTTCCTACATGTAGGAGCAGAGGGAGGAGGGCTAATACATATGATAGATGAAAGCATCACACTGGTTCTTCTATCTGGGTAATGGGGCATGTGGTAGGATACCGCTTTCCAGTTCTTCTGCTTTATCTCTTTCCTTTTCTTCCCTTCTCCTGCCATGCTCCCATCCAGCTGGAGGTGAAAGAAGTCAGGTATTGGCCTGCCATGGTCAGGTGCTGTTCTCTTCCATCTGGAAGTGGCATGCAGGTCATGCTGGACGACCTCCAGAAGAAGTGAATGTTGACATGTGTTTTTTAAAGTGGAAAAACCCCATCTAATTCTAAAAAAAAACTAAAATGTGCACATAGAGGCAGTAAACTGCAAGCTGCATGGCTACTCCTCTGCATGAAATAATCTAAGCCCATATTGTACAGAAACACTTTAAGAAAAGGTTGCTCAGTTGTGAAAGGAAAAACTTATAAAACTACATGTTTCTAAAGACACTTCTGGTGCTCTCAGCACCATTGCTGGGGACGACGTCAAACATATCTAAGCTCTTAAGATTTCCAGGGTCCAGCTGATACAGAATTTTTATCCTCATCTCTCTCAGAATCACAGATGGTCACAAACCAGACAGGATGTCCCTTTGGACCACTTCTAACCAATCCCTTTTTACTCCATCAACAAAGAATTGCCTACAGCCGTGATATCCCTTCAACAATTGTCTCAATCACTGTCCTGCTCTCAAAGTTATGACCGATCCTTTTAAGAACATTTAAATTTTGTTTTGGTGACCATATGAGTGCTTTGATTGCTCATTCCCAACACTCACTAATGGGATGCCTGTCACAAGACACTGTTTTAACCAAGGCCTTTGTCCTTGGTACCTATGGTTTTGGCAGTTTTTTCAGCTCTTCTGCCTCAGGCATTTTTGCAATCTGGCATGTTAGCACCTACTGGTTTTAGCAACTTTGCAGCCTTGGCTTCTTGCCTCAAAGCTTTGGCATGAGTCTGCACTATGGTATCCTTTCAACTCTGAACATACTCGCTTCACAGGTTTTCCTTGGGTTTTTCTAGGATGTCAGCAACTGCCCTAACCCTAGAGGGGGAAGGAAGACTGATCGGCAAGTTCGCACAGTGCCTGCGCAGCAGAAAGATGTCTATCGCAAATGAGCACATTCACTACATCACTTGCCAGATATTGCACATGCTCAGGTACCATGAGACATTTTTTCCAGGCCTTCTTTAAGATTATCCCTATACATCTTCTGAGAGCCTGTGATGATTGGCTGGCAAACTTCATAGCCTCAGACTGCTAAACCACTATGTGTCCATGCTCCAGTGGATACAGCTTCCATTATCAAAGTATTTTCTCTTTTACCTATCTTCAAGCCAAGAAAACCCATCAGATAGAGATAGTTCTTGGGTTTAAAAGGGCTGGTAGTTCAGGGTGACAAGTGCTGATTCAGCAGATGAGATGTTTTCTACAACAACCACCAAGAGACAACTAGTTGTCCTTTGTACTGCCTTCAACAAAAATACTCCTTCCCAGGTAGTGTCACATCTTCCTTTCATTGTATTCAGGGAAACGAATCAGAAGACTTGAAATGGAAGAATCCATGGTGATGAGGATATAGGTTCATGCCAGGTTAATCTTTGTTCTCTCCATCTGAAAGTCCAGGTCAGCAACTGCCTTCAGTGAAGGCTTGAGTTTAGAAGTGCTTTGTCATTGTGAATTACTAATTGTCATCTGTTGTGTCCTGCAACTTCTCTTTCAAAGGACTTTGCATAGCCAACTCAATAATCCAGATTTCAGCTCATCAGAAAACTGGAAAGGTGAAAAAAACAGTTGATGCTACCTAAAACAAGTGAGAGACTCTTGCTAACATGTATCTCTCTATAGCTGAGGAAGCTGGGCCAGGGCTTTCCCAGCAACTTAGAAGCAACTGACT